AAAGATACTGGTATGTGCTGTATCACACTCTAACCTGTATTAATCGATAGCGCTGGAGTATATCATATATCACATATATCTACATCCCTGATTGGGTCTATATTGGTGGAGTTATTCCAATGTATAAATCGGAGTTTTTCGCATGTTTGCGATTTATACTTTTGGCTCCGATTTATATTTTCCCATAGTTAACTCCGCGAAAATCAGCGATTTATAGTAGGAAATGGTATGTGGTATAAGGTAAAAAGTTAACCTAATATCAAAAGGGTGACAATAATTTGAAATATAGTTAATTGCACTTGTAACTGGAATTCGCGGATTTTGTTAGTAGACCCAAGTTTGAAAAAAAGTCCCCCATAGTTAATTTTTCATTTTTCAAAAATTTCAAAATCTCGAAATCCTTAACTATGGGAACTCAAAAAATTCGATGGGAGGTTTCTGTCTAGCGATTTTGCTCTGCCTAGCTCTTAGGGAGGGCTCCTTCTAGATTTCAAGACTCGATCCGTGAAGAGTCAATTTGGACTTTGAAATTGTAAATTTTATGATCATATGATATTAATATTAAACAACAACATTATCAAAGCCAGAAACACAATGTTTGAAAAGTACCTTTTGTCAAGTCATACTCAAACATTCAGAGGGAATATAAGGTGATTCATTATGCCGGTTACGTCGTTATACATGGGTGTTGGGAGTTATAATATAGATCAATTGTGAGTCTCCCCGGTTTAAATTATAAGTACGCTGCAAATTGTTCAAACTTTAGAGCCTTAATTTCAGATTTTACTAGTTACCTACAACTAATAATTCTTGATTTCACTAATATAATGATTATTATGATCCCATCACTTGAAAAATGATCTAATGAGGAATGATATAATTGGACTACAACGTTTCATGTTTATATCTTTTAAAAGTCACCAAAGGAGCTAGTGATTTTGATTTTGATTTTGGTGATTACCACTTATTTATACCTACCAATATACAAAACTACCATGCAGCTATTTATCGGTTATTGTATATTTGATTGAGTTCATCTTTTTGAAACCTGCAGAGTCCAGACACGTCTATTATCAACAAAATAAGTTTATTATTCACAATATCTAGGGTTTCTCGAGAATTTATTGGAACTTATTGATATTTCTTTTTTGGATCAACATCAAAAAAACTACTACATTGAGACCAGTTTAGCTGGATTAATTTTATATTAAGCACTAAAATATGTGTATATTATAAGTTCAATTTAGGACATCCTCCCAGTTTAACTGGTAATTTGCATCAACAAGATCTGATGATTCCCCAAGACTAGCTGTATCATGGCCATTATCATTAATATCTCTAGTTCTAATGTTGCTAATTTCATTATGTAGTTCAGCAGCTTTTTGTTCCTCTACTTGAATAAATTTATCTTTATTTAGCATTATTTCCTTGAAACCAAAGAAAGTGGATGTTGAACTTAATTTTAAATTCTCCAATTTCATAACCACGCTTGATATAGATTTCATATCTAAAATCTCAAGCTTACAACTAGATTCTGTTTCAACATAAGGATAGATGGCATATTCACCAAGATATTGGTACTTTATCCCTTGGTGAATTTTCCCGATTGCCACATCATATACTTCATCTTTACCAGCAATGGTTACCTTTAATATGTAGAAAATCTCTGCGATCCCAAACATTACATTAGATTGTGGAAACCTTTCACAGGCTTTTCCATTCTGTTCATTGTTACCGTCTCTTTGTTGACCAAAGGTTGAAGTTAAATTTGAAGTTGCAAGTTGAATCTGAATCTGAATCTGAATCTGAATCTGAATCTGAATTTGAATTTGAATTTGATTCTGAGTCTGAATCCGAATCTGAAATATTTGAATTATTTGAATTTGAATTTAAATTTGAATTTGAAGTTGAATTTGAAGTTGAATTTGAAGTTGAATTTGAAATATTTGAATCTGAATTTAATTGATTATTGTCATCATGAAAAGCTTGTTTTTCACCAAATGAGCCATAGTATCTGATTAACACAACACTGTTAGATTTTAAATTTAATCGATCAATATGGCGGTTTCCTGCAATTTCTTCACCATAAAGATTTTCAATTGATAAACATTTAGGAGATGAATATATAGTTTCCATATCACCAACTGGGTTCATTATTGTATATCTTGGTGTGAACTTAATAGAAACTTTCTTGTTCTGAAACAAACTTTTTGTTTCTTGTTTGCCATAAATGTTCTCTAACTTTTCTTTAATGACCTCCAGAAACCTAATATTCACTCGTTTTGTATCCACTTTTTTCAAGGAACCACATCCAAGTATATTGATCTCTGGATCTTCAACTTCATACTTTGTTTTTAATTTTTTTTCAATTTCTTGAACTTTTGATTTTAAAACTGGATCATTTTTAAGTTTTTCAACTAATTCATTTTCTAATTCATCATATGATTGCGCGGTTCCACCACTGGTAACCAGTTCCATCATTTTTAGCTTAAATTTCATTGGAATATTTTCACAGATATAATCTTTTGTGATTTTTCTATATTGATAATCAAAAACATTCTTACTAACGCATGATATAGACTTTAATAATGCATCTAATGACCCTTTTAAAGCTATATCTTTTATACTTGCACTTTTTATTACCGTATTTCTAGATATTATTGACTTCTTAAAAAACAACATCTCACGTTCGTTTCCGAAACATGAAAACAAACCTAACCTTGAATACATAGAGCTCCATCGTATGAGATGGCCAATTTCATGAAGAAATATATTGACATGATTTTCAAGACCAGCACTTTCATAAAGACTTTCTAACTCATCAACTATTTTCCACATATCATCTTCTCGATCTAACCACGTTTTTTTAACAAATCTTCCAAGAGCAAGATGAAACACTGAATTTAACTTGAATATTATGTTCTTAAAATCTTCGTGTATACCATCAGCTGATGCAATGACCACCGGTAATAGCATCTGGAGCATTAGAAGCTGGTCACATTTTAAGTACCCTTTTAAATCATTTGAAGTGAATTTTTCTGAAAAATGTCCTGGTAAACTATTTGAAATTTCATCAAATCTTCTATTTAATTCTTTTCTACCACTTTTTGATACTAAAAAAGTATTCTTATCTATGAATAAGACATTTTGTATCTTGGACATTAAGTTTTCAACCATATGCATTGAATCCGGTACTATGCCTGGTGTGCATCTCAGTGTTTCAGTAAACGTTAGCATCTCAGTAATTGATTTGAAACCTGCTATAGTGCTTAATTCTGGATTTCGTTTCAGTATTGGCTTGATCAATTCACGATATCTTGAATCTTTAAACCTGAGATTTGTATATCCATCAGTAAAATATCCGCTTTCTTGGCGACTACCTTTAATTGCATTCAGTGATTGTAAAGCATCTTCCATCTCTTCCACTGTATCTATATCTTGAAATTTCATTCGGTTCATAACCTTATTCACATTTCTAACAGCACCTAATTCGGTATCAATAGTTCTAACATAAAGCACGCAGCACCTACAGCTGGAATTAGCATTTGAGCCTTTACTCGATACAACTTTTGCAATGGCCGGTAAATCACCAGAAGTTGCTAAATGTGTTAAATACACTTTATGCTTCTCCCCATTTGGTGATTCCACCATGGTTCCATGAACTTCAAGCATCCCTATTTCAGCCATGTATTCTGTCATGTAATGATTGTAGTCTATCTCTTTAGTGGTATTAAACCATGGAAACGCAGCAAGTCTAAAACATATCGATTGATCAGAATTGGTATCAGATATGTCCAATATTTTTAAAATACAAGGCCAAATCTGACTTGAGCGGTTAATAGAACCACCGTCTAGTTGTATAAAACACGTTAGATTATAATCTGACCCGTTGTAGTAAGACTTGTTGCTCTCAATTCGACGACCGTCTGGTAGAATTGCATTTCGTTTTCTTGATTTCATGATACGTACAAAATCACTGCTTTGAAAGCAGAGAAATTCTTCTGAACTATCACTACTTTCAAACAGAAATTTCTTGTGGAAAGCATCAATCCTTTTAAATAGTTCAACATTTTTGAAAATTGCCACCAAAAACACTTTAATTGATAGGTAAAAAAAATATTCACAATCAGCTTTTCTACTGGTCTTGTGGCAGATACAGCATCTAAATTCAACTTCATTATCCCATTCAGCTCTTGAACTTGTAGAACACTTTTCAAAACTGCAGCAATATATCTTTTTTACCAGCTTGTAATCTGATAACATTTTTAAAATTTTTATTGTATCTCTCTCAATAACTCTTTTATCTTCACCAAGAGAATTCAAAGTTCTAAAGTTTTGATCTCTAATTTCTTCAAATAGCTCTTCTTTGTTTTGAATGTGATCAAGTTTCTCTTTATAATCGTCACCATAAACGGAACGAGCAGCGATTTCAAAATCATTGGTGATTTCATTGGAAGTAGATCTACTAATAGATCCATTAGAAAATCTAAAAAGAACCAAAGCCTTCAATGCATCAAGTGGATTTTTTATACCCTCAAAAACTGTTTTTTCTAATTGCTTTAGAAATTCAATGGCATTTGTATCTTCTTCTTCATCATCAATATCATAATTTGTTTCAGTATTCTCAGCTGCATCTGCTAAATTCTCCACCCAATCATCATCATCTTCTTCTTCTTCATCTTCAACTTCTTCTTCTTCTTCTTCTTCTTCAGCGGGAGTATCTGAACCAGTTATGTTAATATTCAACCTTCTTCTCTTATAATTAGACATCTCCAGGTTTTCAATCTCAAGCACTTTTGAGATTATTTCCATTTTGAGTTCCTCATCTATAGTCATCTTGACTTTTGTAAACTCTTTTGGATTCTCAATTATCCCAATTTTCTGTTCCCAATATTCATCCATCTTTAGTATCTGTTCAAACGGTATATTGTTATCACTTTTAATTCCCGCTTTATTAATGATTTCAGCAACTTCTCCTCTATTAAATCTCTTCCTAACATGGCTTATTAGCTTAAATCTTGGCCCTGATAATTGATTAAAAAATATGTACTCATGTTGATTGTTTCCAGTAGTTGAAATTGACCTTGTTGTTAATTTTGGTTTCACCAAATCAATGTAGGGTATATGCACAATATCCCATTCATTCATGTTTTTATTGTAATTTGATTTCTTGATGATGTGGGTTTTTTCAATACCTTTCAATTCATTATGAATTACTCTTAGGAGCCTATATGATGCTTGTTGAAGTACCACTTTAACAACAAATGAACTATTTGGATGCTTTATAGTTCTCTTCAATTGATGCGAATGGTAATAAAATAATTCTGGATAAGATTTAACTATTTTATTAATTAAATTATCAAATTCTTCGTTTGATTTCAGCATTTCTGGAACAATGTTTGAGTATTCAGAAACATTAATGTTTTTCTTAAGAGATAGCAATTTGACGAGCTCAAAGCAAAATAATAGAAAGTTGGATATGTTTATATTCAGAGTATGTGATTGTTCTTCATTTGCTGTGATGTGTTGAGGAATATTTAGCATCTCTTTTATCCAATTGGAATGTGTAATTGATGTTAGATTAATGAATATACTTTGAACCTTATCAAAACCGTATTGAATGTCCTTAGCATCTTTGTTCAGTTTGAGTTCTTGAAGCTTTTCAGTCACTATATTCTCTATGTTCATGGTTTGATGAGTCATATGAGTAAAATTATCCTAGCTTGTAATTTATTCTAGCTCTAATGTTTGTCTGGTCATTAATTATAATTCTTCAAGAAAATTATATTCTTCGTCGAACTTTTCATGGAATTTCATGGAACTTCATGGAACATTTTCACCCAAAAACTTCACCCTACCGTCGGAGATGACTCAATTTTCTTCGCATTTTACGTATTTAGGACTTATTTGCCTAAGAAGGAAATTTATTATGTAACGGATTAGTTATCAGAGCTTTCCAAAAATATTTAAAGCTTGAATTAAACCTTTTAAACGTTGGTTGTATGAAACATTAAATATATGTAAATAATCCTAGAGCTCAATATTTTATCATTAGCATTTCACTTGTATTTAATTCGATAAAATAAATTTTGATTTTCTTTGCATTCAGAAAAAAAGTGGACGTTAAAAATTTTATTTTTACTTTCAAACTAAAATAATCCAAAAATCTAAAAACTTTAATCCATAAAAACCACCCAAAAACTAGTTTATAGTATTCCTTTGTCCGAATAACTAGTATAAATGTAATAAAAGAACTATATTACAATACAAATGTTGTTAGTTAATACTAATTTTCCGTTATTTCGGATTTTCTCGCCCACAAATTACATAATGTGGAGGTAATCAGCTCTTAACTATGGAGCTCTATATCTTTGACACATCGATATGCAAGATTACTATCAGCTCTTTAGCTCTTAACAAAGAAATCCCATAGATTAGACGAGAGATAAACAAGGGAGGGTATTGTTTCACCCCCGTTTTTAGTTTGGTCGAAACTTTTTTTGGTACGTTGCTGTGGTGATTTGTTTTGATTTTGCTCTCGCGAATTTCCAAAAAATCATAACAACCTTATGTTTACTCGAAATTTGAGCTAGAACACCCAAATAAGGAGTCTATGTTATCTTTGAATACACATTTATGGGCCTGGTGACATTAGTTTTAGTTGTTTAGCTGAATTCAATTAGCTATAACAGCTCAAAAGTCCACCCTATATATATGGTGTTATGTACGTTGATGCATTAGATTGACCAAGCCTTCCACCCTGGTCAGATCTGCGATCGCCAAAATCACGGAGATCTTTGAAAAACTGGTGAAGATGTATACAAAACTATTTGACGCGTGAAAATGTGCATCTATGACCATAAACAAGGTATAAAAAGTAGAAAAGGATCAGGCCAGAACATTTCATGTGGAATGTAGCACGTCCTGAAGGAGTGGTTTCCTAATTGGATCATCCTAATTGCGAATTCTGGGCTTAACTATGTATGCACAGTACTTACCAGTAGCCAATAAGTTAACTTTATTTTTTTAAGTCTTAGAGAATTTTTTTTAAAAAAGTTCACCACTTGAAACATACGAAAGAACCTGAAAAATTATAAATAGAGGGCCAGTTCCCTCTTTTTTCAACTTCATTTTATTTTCTTTAAGTTTTTTTATCTTTATACAAATTCATTATATTTACAAGTCAATTAATAGTAAGTACTATAGTTACAAATATTATTGAAAGATCAATTACTAATATTGTTTCATTATAATTTATATGGTATATAGATTGTTGGTGAAGCTGTTGTCGTGTTTCAATTTTGTTGTTCAATTTGACTTTGGTTCATTCTATGTTGTTGTTCAATTTGGTTGGTTTATTCCTTTTGTTGCTTCTTATGGCTTAGATGCTCTCATTGTTATTGTTGGGTTCATTCTGCTGGGTTCGCTACAATTGGCTTTGGTGCTTCTTATGGTTTTGATGCTCTCATTGTTATTGTTGTTGGGTTTAATCTGCTGGGTTTTCTGGTATTCGCTTTGTTGGTTCTTATGGTTTAGGTGCTCTCATTGTTATTGTTGTTGGGTTTAATCTGCTGGGTTTTCTGGTATTCGCTTTGTTGGCTCTTATGGTTTAGTTGCTCTAATTATTGTCATTGGTATTGTCATTGGGGTTGCTCTGCTGCGTTTGTTCTGGTGCTTTTGGTGTTGTTTTTAATGCTGGTTTCAATTTGTTCTTTTGAATGGATTTTGATTACATAATCAATTTGTTCATTTGAATGTATTCTGATTACATAATCAATTATATAATTTATATAGCATTTTCAAATTTACATTTGATTTCGTTTTGAATTTTAAATTTGCAGTAATTTTCAGTCCATTCGAGTAATTCCTATCCCAAATTCCAATCTAAATTTAGCTTTTACTAAAATATGCATGCATATCAATCACGACGCGTTTGACGGTTATGCATTGCATATGGTTCGAACACGACAAAATTTGAGCCCTAATCACGTGCCAAATGAGTAACCCGGCCACAATAAGATAACCCGGCCGCCAAATCTGAGTCCTCCCAGCCCCTTCCCAAAAAGGAAGGAGTTTTGCGTAGGCCCCAATATTAATTTATATGGTCTTATGAGGTCAATTTCAGCCTAATTTTCGCCTAGTCCTCTACATACAAAAAAATCAGGAATCTCCGTTACAAGTGTGTCAAAACTATTGATGAAAAATGCAATAATTGGTTTGTGATACAAATTGTAATGAACAATAGATTACATTTGTATGAAAAAGTGACTCTTTAAGAGTTACTTGAAATGATGCTTGGGTATCATTGGGTTAAGTGTTTTTTCCGCTTTCACTTAACAAGGGAGTGTTTTGATTAAAGTTTCACTCATTGAGAAGAAGAATACTGAGATAACAGAGATCATTATCGTTGACGTTAGAAGAGTACCGAGATAATTGATAGTG